AGGGAGAGAGGAATAAACAGGTCTGTGATATTCTTAAATGGCCAGGAGATGGCACCAGCAGTGCTGCAGGAAGAACTGTAGCAGAGAACATCAAGAATTTATTCTGCCTCTTTCCATTCATGCTTCCTTCTCTCTGGAATCACTGAACTCTGCTTTTCAGCTTCTCCTTCCTTCCTTAAAGACAGGAGAAACTATTTCTCCTTTTGCCCACACCCCTCTGCCACGCCTGCCCCTCAGGATGGGGAAAGCTGGTCTCGGAGATCTTTCCAAGATCGCCAACTCTTTCCTGCAGGCTGATGGTGTTTAACTGAGATGTTCCAGATCAGAGCGGGTTCCTTTTGTAGGTCAACAAGTATTCCTTTACCTGCTCCCTTCTGCAATCTATACTTTGCTGTTTACGTATTTATCTCATTGTTAAGGCAGGAGGAGGCCCCCAATTTTTCCCAACCTCAACTTCCCAGATGAGTGGACTTCAATTCCCAGATTTCTCAGCAATGGCCCTGCTGGCTGGGGGAGGGGAGAATTCTGGGAGTTGAAGTCCTCACATCTGGAAGTTGCCACAGATGGAAAATGGGGTTGACCCCTGCTCTCCAGCAGGAATCAAAACCGCTGCAGATTATTCATGGTACTCGGAAACGTTTCCGTCCTTCCTGTTCCCGTTTGGTCTTCTCTGCTGTCAGCTGCGTGACTCTGAAACAGAAGGAAATGCACGAAGACCAGGGTTGAGTTAATTGACATAACCTTGATGAATAGCTAATCATTAATAGAAAGGGGGGGGAAAGGAAAAAAACAAAATTACAGATTGAAATGCATGTAAGTCAGTCTTTTTCAAACTTGGCAACTTCAAAACAGGTGGACTTCAACTCCCAGAAATAGAAAGAAAATAGAGATAGAAATAGAAAAAGGAAATAACAAGATTAAAAGACTGAAATGCATGTAGATCAGTGTCTTTCAAGCTTGGTGACTTTAAGACATGTGGACTCCAACTCCCAGAATTCTCCCCTCCCCAGTCAGCAGGGCCATTGCTGAGAAATCTGGGAATTGAAGTCCTCATCTGGGAAGTTGAGGTTGGGAAAAATTGGGGGCTTCCTCCTGCCTTAACAATGAGATACTTAAATATTGTGTCAGATAATACTTAATAGTGTAGATAATGGTGAGATAAATACTTTAAAAATAGTGAGATAATACTTAAAAAATAAATGCTTATATTCCTGGCAGGGGAATTCTGGGAGTTGGAGTCCACATGTCTTAAAGTTGCCGAGTTTGAAAAACACTGATGTAGATGTCTTAGTTAGCAACTGCCTTTCTGCTGTTACAGTTCCATCTGTAAGAGGCTAAAAGAAGTTGAGAACTTGGAGAGGGAAAACTACCATAACATTAAGAATTATTTCAGCCCTGGTTTAGTTAACGATGCTTTGTTAAACCAAACACACTTGGGTGGGTTTATCTAAGCCGGGGTTTATCTCTCTTACGGACAGGTTCAAACAGCGCACCAAGTCCAAATGGAGCAAACTACATTTTAATGCAATGCTTGAATCCAGAAGCAAAATTATAGATCATTGGAGTGGGTGGGACACTTTATTGGCCCCAGTTAGAAACATTAAAGCTTAAGGTTGGGTATTAAAGAAAAGCCAGAATTAAATGCCAGATAGCCAGGCTGAAATTCCAGAAATGTGTAGGGATCTTTAGCCGTCTTGAAATGAAGCACCGTAAAGTGCTAAAGGTCACACCTCCAGAGGTGCAAAGCAGATTTCACGCTGCTCCAAAGCAAAGAGACAATGACAATCTCTGGGTCATCAATCCGGACCCATCAATAAGTAATTATTTATTATCCGGTCAAAAACTTCAATTTTGCAGGCTCTTGGTCATATTTCAGGCCCTCTGCAGAACATTCACAGACACTGGCACGGCTCAAAATGATTAAAGGGTACCATTTTATATCATATTATAGGAAAGCTGGATATGCAGGGTGTGGTCAGAAAAGTCAAGATGGCCGCTATGGTGATGGTTTTTGGTGTGCATTACATGCCACCCTTTGTAAGCGTCTGGGATCTGAGGTGGTGGAGAATCTGCAGTGGCTGGAGAACCCAAGACGTTTTAGAGATCCGTGGCTTGGAACTCCTTTTCCCCAACCAGGTTGGCTGCAGTTGATGAAAGGGAGTTGAACAATATCTGGATGTTCACAACGCTAAGCCATGTTGGCTTAGAACATCTCAAGCAACCTTGAGGCATGATGGACAGCTGCAGTTACACCCTGGAAGAGCTCTCTGCACATGCTCGGAATTGATGGAAAACCCGGCTGAGCTCACGCTGAAAAGAGTTGCAGAGCTTTCGGCAGGACTCTCCCCCCACCTCCCTGCCCCAAATGGAGCTGGGTGTCTAAAGCTGAGTCCACCCCCAAGCCCAGGCCCCACTGCCAAACCTCTTCCCCCTCCCTCCCTGCCCTGCCTTCATTTCTTCTCCCTTCAGCCCATTCCAAAGCCAGGAGGGCTTTCTTCAGGCATAAAGACATGCCAGGAAAACCATAATTTGCGTGGCAGGAGGTTATCAACGGTTTCAAAGATGCCTCGGCAGCTGCAAGGCGTGAAATGGCAGGCTGGACCCCGTGCGGCGCACCAGTGGGTTGCAAACGTGCACAGAGGCAGCTGCCCCACGCCCACACCAACCCCCTAGGGAAGCCCTGGGGAGAATGAGCGGAAAGCACAGATGTGTCCTCGCGAGCAAATCAGCATTTTCAGTCTGCATCCCTGGCTTAGGACTCCAGGGGTGTTGGGAATGTAGTTCCCAGGATCCCCTGATAGGTTAGGCATACGATTCCCAGAATCCCCAGGTAGGTTAGGCATACGATTCCCAGAATCCCCCGGTAGGTTAGGCATACGATTCCCAGGATCCCCAGGTAGGTTAGGCATACGATTCCCAGGATCCCCAGGTAGGTTAGGAGTACGATTCCCAGAATCCCCAGGTATATTAGGAACATGATTCCCAGGATCCCCCTTGGGTTAGGGTTAGGGGATTTAGGGAATCGTATGCCTAACTGAACTGGGAATGTCCTCTGAAAATAAAGGGGTATCCTCCGATCTACGTTGCCCAATTTTTTTCAGGAGAAGGCAGCTGATTCCCATTTATCCAGCTGGCTTAACTCAGAATCATTCCAGAGTTTCTCCAGTTCAAAATAACTGTATTATTTCAGAGCAAAGACATGCTCCAGGGCATTCATTCACATACAGAGAAATAGAAATGAAGATCCAACAGATGCTGGTTGTGAGGAAGGAAGATGAGAAACAGAAAGGGGGGGGGGGGGGAGTTGCAGCTTTCAGCCACTCTCACGATGGGTTGTATTTTTCAGCGGAGGATTCCCACGAGAGATGGTCCCTGCAGGAACTCTCGGGTTTGGTTGGATCTGGGAATCCTGGCTCTGAAGATCCTTTTTTGAATGAATGGGGCCCATCCGGGGAGGAGAGATGGAGAGGGCTGGAGTGACCTGCAAACAGGGCACTTGGAGTGGGATATCAAAATCTCTGGCTGGTCCCGGGAGAAGTTAAAAAAAAAAAAAATAGCTCAAATGCAATCAGAAGGTCTGAAGTTTTGCAGTTTCTCCTTGCAAATTTACTCATACATACAAATAATCGTTAATACTCCCGGTGAGCCTCCTAGACCCATTCTGGTCCAATCCTACTTAGCTTTTTACAGACCACGGTCTGTTAGGTGACTGTGGTAAGTTTTTTAAAGGTCTCTCTCTAGCACATGAAGCCCACTTGCATTCCTACCAGTTTAGCATCGACTGGGGAAAAAAACATCTATGCAGCTTCCTGTTTTCTCTGTCATCATGAGATCTAGCAACGTGGATTGTCTTTCTCGTTGAATTCTGAGGCTCGTTGTTCCAGATCCCGCCCGGTTAGTTTCTCTGCACTTCATCCTATGTTCCTGAGTTGAAAATGAGGATTGGTGCTAAGAAGACCACGCCCTGTCATGCGTGTCCCATCGCTACCGTGATTCCTGAGGGAGCTCTAGCATGATGGATGGTCAGTAAATTGCCTTCTTAGGTTCAGAAGTTGCAGATCCTTCTTGCTGGTTTTCAGGGAAGAGGGGGCAGTGCGTCGTGCAAATTGTTTATTGTGTGTGCGTGAATGCAGGGATGTAGGGGGGGGGGGGGAGCCATGTTTCTCTGAATGCTTGCTGATTCCAGCCCTGAGCCTCTGGGGGCCGTGTGGATTCTAGTTGGCAAGAATTCTTTAGGAGTTTGGCAAATTCTGGCTTCCAGGCTTGCTCTGCAGTTGCAACCCATTTCGATGAACCGTAAACTTGAAATCTGAATTAACCAAAGCAATTCCTACATGCACATCACAAGCCATGCACAGATGGATCAGTCACATTACGGCTGAACACAATCAAATCGTCTAATACAGTGTATCTCAATCTCAGCGAATTTAAACCTGTGGACTTCAACTCCCAGAATTCCCCAGCCAGCCATGCTGGCTGGGGAATTCTGGGAGTTGAAGTCCACAGGTTTAAATTCGCTGAGATTGAGATACACTGATAGAATCATAATTGTGGCCAGGTTCACAGAACATGGAAAGAGAAGAGTTGCGGTCCTGTAATGGCTAACTCAACTTTTTACAGCCTAGTCCAGGGTGATGTGTGAACCCAGGTTTTGCTGCTTCAGTGTCCTCCGTGCAGGACAGGTCTGAACTCTCCCATCTTTTCTTTCTTTACCTTGTTAAGTTGGGCAATGAATTAATCCCTTTTCATCCACTCCCTTGTGCCAAACGAGGGCAAGAAAGTCCCTCATGGAAGCTTCAGACAAACCCCAAACAGGCCAGGAAGGAAATGGATCAGCCTTCCCAAGCTGTCTTTGGGCTGTAGGGACTACAACTCCCATCAACCTTTGCAAGCACATCACCCAGCACCTCTGGAGGCACCAGGCTGTGGAAAGGCTGGCCTTCCTCCATGATTGCCTTTAGCAATTGCAGTACAAAGATACACTGCTCCTGTACATGGAAGATCCATTTGGGAAATAGTCGCTGATGGATCTTCCACCTTCTTTTCCTCCATGAATTCATCCCACCTTTAAAGCCGGTTGCCCAAATTTTCTGGGCTCTTTGAAGGATGTGCAGGGGGCTGCACTGCCCCAAAAATGGAGGTCCAAAGCCAAACGCTACATTTCATTTCATTTCACTTTGTAGTTGATTAAAAATCAGTATTATTTTCCAGTCAGGTATTTATCCATTTCTCCTTCTTCTGCCACTTTACAAAAATTAGAATGCGCTAAATGCTTTTGGGCAAGAGCCCCGGGGCATCATTCAGGCAACTCAGGATGGTCCGCGAAAGCTAACCTGGTTAGGACCCGGATGGGAGAGCAATCGGAGATCCCAGGGTTACAGGCCCGGTCCCCCCAAAAAGCAGAAAAAGCAGCGGCAAGCAATTTCCATCCTTCCTGGAAATGGAGTGGTCTATAAACGGAAACGAGAAATAAATCAGGTTGCCAAAAAAATCCGGGGATACATTGTGGGAGGGCAGCTGTGTCCGTCTCTGGTGGCCAGAAATCAGGAGCCTGTTAGCCCCTTTCGTGAGCTGCTGCTTTATTACAGGATGAATGTTTCTGTAAAGGTGAGCTTTAAAGGCCTTGGTAAAAATTTCCGGCCCTCGCAAGGCTTTGGGGGCCCCACATGTGGCCCTGCAGGTTGTGGGCCCCGGGCTGAAAACCGCTTTAGCTGAAACGCTCACCCAAGACTTCTCTCGTGCGAGTCCAGTGCTGGCGTGTTTCCCTCTTCCACCGGCCGCACACGGAGCGGGCGGTCGCAGACGACCCTCCGGCCTGGGCAACGTGGCCTTGGGTAGTTTGGGGTTCGGGGCGTCGTGGGAACCAAGCCATGACGAGACGGGTCGAATCGGGCATCGCGCGGGATGGGAGCCCAGCAACCGCGTTTCCTCCTCGCGGGGTGAGCAGGTCGTGGGAACGGGTCCCACTCGCCGCCTCCAGTCC